GGTTGGAAGAAGTGGCACTGACAAACGACCTGAACATTTACTGTTATTCAGATGCAAAAGTCACATTTGTGATGTGAAGGTACTTCCGCAATACAACAACAAGATACATCGAGAACAGAGAAAGACAAAACAAGCTACCATTGAAATAACTTTAATTAACAACCCTGATACATGTAAAGCTTGTCTAATAACTGACAAATAACTTTTTAATGACTACTTCTTGAAAGGATAAAGCAAAAATAACTTTAACATTTTTATACGTGTTAATCCACACATCGTTTAATCTCAAATTACGCTCTAAAGTTCCCTGCACAAAAATTACCCTTCTTATAACAAAACAGTTCGTTAGTAAGTTGATATTTTTCAATACATTCCCTATTGCAAGGTTAACAGGCATCAGAATAACTAAGTTGATCTCTCGAATCCTGTCTCCGAGATTTGCTCAAGTCGGTTGTCAGTAAAGATGTTGCGTAGAGATGTCGAGTTTCGTAGTGTCTGGGCCATTAAAAGATTCGAAATCTCTTCGTGTCCCTAGGGAAAGTATCGATATTTCAAAGACACTCGTTTCTCGCCTGTTCAGTTATTGGCAGACTGCATGCTTAGAAAGAAAAAGATGCCAAACAAACTTCTTAGACATTGAAAAATTTGAAAAGGCTAGCTCAGATTATTCAAACCTTAATTGATTTTAAAACTAAAATAACGCAAAAAGTGCTCCACGTTAGAAATATAACTTTCCGATAATAATTGCAAAACTAGTGCAGTATAAAACATTTCTCATGGAGGCTATTTATTATTGATCGAACAACTTATTTGGAATGCTTCCTTTCTTTTATAGATTGTAGGATTTATTTTAACCATCCACTTCATCGAATACCAAAACCGAAATTCAGGTAAAATTTTTCATACAGACTCCCCTCATTACCTAGTAATTATTAATAAATGAAATTCAATCGAACTTATAAATCGAAAAAAATCCCTTAAAATACCAACAAGAGTAGTTAAAGAATAAAGGTTAAATTGAGTGGCCATTAAAAAGCAGAAACATGAAACCATTATGACGTCATCGATTTCCACGCGAGAAGACATTTAAAGACAGACCAACGGACAAGCAAGATCTTTGCAAAATACCGGTACTTCAACGTAATAAATTTTGCTTGAGGTGCGAGGAAAACATCCTGTGAAGGTTTTTGCACCTATCACTTATCTCGCCCCTTTTTTGGGCTCGTTGAATGTTTGGGCATGGAGCGAAAACGCACTATGCGCTCGAGGTGAAAAACAAATGTCCATTTTTTTCTGATCAATTTGCGGTGTAAAAAGATGATAGGATTGCTTGACGCTGTCTCTAGAACTAGAATTTTGATCAAATATTTAAATTTCCAATAATGTGGGTATAAAATAAGGCTTACACAAACGGAGTCTTGGATTGCATTGGACATTACTCTTGTCGGAAATTCTAACCCAGAAATATTATTCCTATGAGAAATCAAAACAACCTTTCTTGCACTTGAAAGAACAAATTAAATAGAAAGTTTTACCTTTCGGCTTCACACTGGTATTGGCATGCCAAACAAACAAAACAAAGCAAAACAAAAAAAGTAACATCTAAGCTTGCCCTGACTACATAGTCAATTGGTCATCGTTTCTATGACTACTGAGGACCTATTCCTCGCGGGTAAGTTTATTCCGCTTCGATATCCTCAGCTTGCACAGTCAATTCAACATCGTTTCCAAGACTACCGAGATCTGTGATTTGCAAGGAAGTTGATACTTCTTCGCATTCAACCACTGCTTGACCTCCAACGTTTTGTGGCATTATGATCCCCTGTGACTGATTACTTACTGAATCCGTCAAATCCAGTTCGCGACTCACGACTGATTGAGGCTGACTACCGTCGGAGATACCGGCTGCATAGGATGCATCCCCGTTTCCAACGACCTTAGCTTGTTGAGAAGTTGCTACCTGATGAGAACCACCAGATGAAGCAGTTACGTTGAGCCTACTTCCCTCCGAGTTGTTCGCTACTCCGACAGAAGCTTGCTGGGAGGCTGCATTTAAAGACGTTTCTCGAACGTCTTGTGAGAACTGTTGCTGAGGGTTACCGAGAATGGCGGAATTATGCAAACGACCATCAAAGCCACAGGCAGCACCTTCCCGAGCTGAATTTAAAGAGGATCCTTGAACTTGTGATGAGACTTGTTGCTGAAGGTTACCGACACTGGCAGAATTATATAAACGACCATCAAAAACGGTGGGTCCCGTCATGAGCCTTTGAAAGGCAAAACCTGAATGTAATCCATTTAGGCCACTGTAGCTTCCCAACATCGAGCCACCGAATGCCCCACCAGCTCTTGTTTGAGAAACACCGCCCAAGATACCAACTGATGGTAGAAAGAAATGGTCATTGCGTGAGGACGGTAGTGATTGTAAGAAACCACTGCCCCGCGAAGCATCAAATCCACTCAGCGATCGTCCATGGAAAAAAGATGATGGTGAACGGGACGAGAAAAGACGCTGACCAGCTGATGCTATGGAGGAAGAACCTGCGATGCCATAACCTCGATTGCTTAGGAATTGATCGTCTCCAACCCAAGAGCCTTGTACCTGAGGTCGCACATCACTTAAAGACTGGCTTAAAAGGGATCTGGTGTCTCTGGCCTTCCGATTCTGCCTTGCTTTACCGCTTGGACTAAGGGCAATTCGAGATTTTTCAAACATCCCACCTCGCTGCTGAGCGCTCGAGCTGAGATCCACCATTGATGATATCTGTCTACTGGTGCGACGATTAAGATCAAGGCCCCTTTCCAGGTTTGAAGAAAACCGTACATTTGTGTTCTGGATAAGGACAACAACAGATTATGCACATTAAGATTAGATTCATTTCTAAATGCTAGTGCTGTTTTAAATTACATTACTATATCAAAGAACCTCACCACAACATCTACCAGGTGGGTTGAGGGCGAGCGACATAGACGCTTGGTGGTCATGAGACGCGGCGAAAAATAAACATAAACATAACTTAAAACTGAGACAGACACCTACATTCCTCGTTTTTGACTGGAGGGATCTTGTTTGGCGTTCTTCGATGTCGTCCATTCTGTCCTTTAGAGTGCTCATCTGGCTTTCTAATGCATTCCTTTTCGTTTCCATGGTGAAGTTGTTGTCATTCAGAAACTCAGTCCCTTCAGAGGAGTACCTCAAGGAAACAGGGGTGTGATCCTGCATTACAACATGAGGAGTATCAATATCGAACACTTCATATACATATTGTATAAGATAACAAAGTCAAGTCTCACCACAAAGGGAGCCGTGAATCATAAGGTATAAATGTGGAATGGAATGTGGACTGTGCATGGAGGCATAAGTAGGACAGTCTCGTAAGACCTTTGTCCAGCCACCATGACAAATTGTCCCGACCTGAAGACAACTCAAGATATTTTAAAGTAGTAAGAAAAGAGCGTCTGTTAGCTCAATCTTTAGCACATTAAAATAAGAGGATAAGTAAGTTCAAAACTCACCAATTTCTTGGAGATCACCATCGATGACTGCAACTGAGCAGTAGTTGCCTGTAGCCTCCTTTTTAGATCAACAATTCGCCTTTTGTATTTTTCTTCTAGACGATCCCTTTCCCGATCAAAGTCTTCTTGCATCTGAACTTTCTCTTGCTTGTAACTGACTTTGATGTCAGATTTCTCTTTCTTCAACAACTCCACTTCTTGCTCAAGATCATAGATTCTATCTTCCATCTGTTTTGTCCCTCGTAAAAATCTCATTTCTAGATCCGTCTCAGATTTAAAGAGCGATTCCTTCCTTGCAGATACACTTTTGTCTATAAGAAGACTGTAAGTGCTTTGTACTCCTTGACTAGAAAGCTTAAGCTGAATTTGCTTTCGCTGCTCTTGCAAGGAAGTAATCTCTTTCCTCAGTACACGTAGAGTTTCTTCGTATTTCTCCCTTTCTTTGTCCAGGGCAACTCGATATTCCATCTGCAGACTTCCTCTAAGTTGACTCTCTATGCTTGTTGCATCTTGCTCAAGCTCCGTTTTCTTATATTCGAATTTAACTTCCAACTGGTGTACTTCTCTCCGATGTTTTTCCTCCATGCTCCGAATCTTGCTTTCGGTCACATTAAGCTTCCTCCTTAGGTCGTTCGTTGCGTTTTGGCCATCTTCTCTCTCTTTTCGTAGTATATTGCACTCGTCCGTCACCTTTGCCACGGTCTCTTTTATCTCTGCGATTCGGCTGTTGCTGTTCCCTCTTTCTTTTTTAATTTTGTTCAGAAGAGTCTCCTTGTCACGCTTCAGCTTCTTTAGTTCTTCTATTAATTTATGGATGGTGTTATGGAGCACTCTACTCTCTCCTTCCCTGCCTCGGGTAGAGTTTCGCCTCTCTTCTTGTAACTCTCTTTTGAGGTTTTGTTTCTCATTTTCAAAGGCTTCCATTTGAGTTTTGATCTGCCTTCGTAGCTCGTCCATCTGTTCTTTGTGATCTCTAACTAGATCAGCCATACCTCCGCCTCCGTCTTGATAAGTTGCTACATCTGAAGTATTTCTAAGGCACGTGACCATTTCAACTGAATCTTTGGTTTCCCTAGAGCCCATTTTCTTAAGTTGCTCGATTTGATTGTCATAATCATCTATTTTACGTCTGAACTCCTCTTCAATCTCAGTTTTAAACTTCTTTATTTTTTGCCCGTGCTCGTACTCCAGATCATCAATTTTTCGGCTGTGATTTCTTTCTGTGTCACGGAGCGTCTCTTTCAATTCCTTATTTTCACTTCTTAAAACATCTATCGTGCCCCTCAAATCGGATATCGTTTGATGAGAGGCAGAACTCACCCCCGGTTGATTTCCATTAAATTCACCGTTACCCAAAGTAACCTGATTGGTTACAAGTTCATTACTGCCCGCGTTGTGTTGCCGAAGTCTATCCTCTATTTCATTTATTCGCCTTTCCATTGTTTTTCGCTCCTCTTCAAAGCGCCGTCTGTACGTTTCCTTCTCATTTTCAAACTCGCTTCGAATTCGTTGTTTCTCTTCTTCTAAAATTCTGATTTCCTCATCGTATTTCCGTTTCCTCTCATATAAAGTGGTTTCAAGTTGCTCCGTCTGCTTCTTAAAAACCTCAACACTCTTGTCAAGTTCATCTTTCACAGTCTTGGCCCTGCCTCTCTCAAAGTTAATTTCCTCCGTTAGCTGAGTAGTTATTTCACTCTTTTTCCTCTCCAGACGCTCGTTTGCTCTTTCCAAGTCATAAATCTTAGTCTCGAAGGAACTTATCTCAGCCTCCATGCTTCTATTGATTTTCACCTGCTCGTTGTACTTTTTCTCGATCATTTCCCTTTCGTTTACGATGTCGTTGATTTGCGACGTCTTGTCTTTGCTGTAATTCCTCACCCAGTCCTCTTTTTCATTTCTGAAGTTCTCTTCCATTTGTCGGATCTTCCTGGAGAAGTTGTCAACATCCTCGGTAAGTCGTTTGTTCTTATCTTCGACCTGCTGCACGCTCGACAGTGAATTGTCCAGTTCCTTGACCAGTTCTCTCTGTTTACGGATCATTTCATCTTTCTTAGAAGTGAGCTCTTCGACCTCCTCGGACAGCTCCGTAACTCTGTGCTCCAATTCCGTCTTTTTCTTGACATCTCGCTCGAGTACTCGGCAATTTTCCCTAAGCTCATTTATTTCGGCTACGAGATCATTCGAATTTTGTCTACTGCTTGTATGTGACGTTTCACCCAAGTCACGATCATAACTGTGCTTGATATGTGTGGTATTAGAGGCTCCACCGCCGATATTATGCTCCAGCAAGTCGTTTATCTGGTACAAAAGTTTCTTGTTTTCCTCCTCTAGTCTCTCCTTCTTTCGAACCTCGTCGCCCAGTTTTCGTTTCCACTCTTCATCCGTTGACAGCGTTCGAGGCTCACTGGAAACAAGCTGAGCACCTGAGTGCGTTTGTTGCGCCCCGTTCGACTGCATCATCACCTGATTCACAGCAGGGCCACTGAGAAAGGAAACAATTTGTTCTCTTTCTTTCTCAAATTGGATCTTCAGTTCTTGAGCTTCATGAAAGAACCTGGCCTCCATGTCCTTTTTCTGTTTGCGAGATTCTATCAATTCGCCCATCAGTCGCTCAATTTCCATCGATAATTCCGCTTTACTCTGGATTTGCTCTTCCAAATTTCGTTGCAGCTCGCTGACATCTCGTGAGTAGCTCTCTTCTAGCGCTGTCCTTTCGTCAATAACTTCATTTTCCGTCTTGTAGGCTTCCTCTATCTTGAGAAGTATTTCTTTCCTTTCTTCCTCTAGCCTACGATTGTTTTCGTCTAGCTGACGGGTTTGTTCTTGAAGTTGTTTGTTGCTGGCAATTTCCATCTCAAGTTTGATCTCCACTTGGTGAATTTCTTCCTCGTAGGCCTGTTTTATTTGCGACATTTGAAGTTCGTAGTTTTCTACGACTGTAGATTTGGAATACAGCTCATTTTCTAAAACCTTACTCTCTCTCTTGTACTCTCTGAGATTATCTTCGGCTTTTTTGTTCACTTCCTCGAGAAGTCGTTCCTGTTCACGGGTACATCTTTCTAATTCCCTCACACGATCTTCGAGTTTTGCCTTTTCCCTTTCTAGCCTTACAACGTCTTCTTCGAGCCACCTTTGTTTTTCGCTGCTATTTCCAGACACTCTTTCCTCCAATATGACTTTGCTATTTTCCTGTTTGTCTATCAAATCGATGATCTGTTTAAAAAGCTCGTTCTCCTGTGCCAAGAGGGCCACCTCCTGCTTGTACATCTCAGTGTTCACCGCAACTGAACTGTCGCTTGTAGAGCTGGTAATGAAGACTCCGCCACTGCTACCTAGCGAGGCTCCTACCAACCCGCCCGCTGTCATCGTTGCTGCGCCCGAACTGACCCTTGTCTGTATGGCTGTCCTGAGGTGTCCGAACTGTGATTTAAGGTGGCTGTTCTCGAGCCGGAGTGTCTGTAGCTCTTCCTCGTAACTCGAGAGGTTCCTTGAAAGCTCGGAGAGCTTCTCCTCAAAATGGATCTTTTGGTCAAATTCGTGATGGAGTTTAATCTCCAGAGATTCCCTGTCTCTCTTTTCCCGTTCGCATCTCAGACGGAGGTCATCTCGGTCTCTAACCAACTGTCGCAAGTCGCTCTCGTAGAAAATAGAGTCAAAGTCAAGCTGTGGATCTTCTTGGAAGTCCAAGTAAGTCTCGGCTACCAAGTCCTTGGTCAATTCAAGGTCTTGCTCCCCGGAGTCCATGGCCGATTCTGTTGGGTTAGATTTGAATTTATTCTTAATGGTGGTGGTAATTGAATATAATTAATTAAGATACAAAAAGTATATCACAAATTAGGCTACAGATATTGTGCAAATTTTTTGCCAGTACCCAGCACGACAACTGAGAGATTTTTTTTTTGGTTAATGAGCAATTCCCCTCGCCTGTGTTCTGTAACATGATCAATTAAATGTGCAGATGGGTGTTATTCCCCATAAGACTGAATTATATTATGTTAACGCCTGATCTACTACTATCACAAAAGGGAGAAAGTTGGCTTGCTCTTAGTCTTGGTTTTTACTTGTTTTCTGTTTTCAATCAACTCTGACAGCGGAATGTTTTGCTACCCTACATGAGAACAACACACTGTTAACAAATACTTTTGAATATGTCCAGTTAACGGCGGAAGCTAACAAAAGAAGCGAACCTTTTTGAGAATTAAAACTGGCAGCGATTAATTATCGACGTTATTACAAATGCTTCAAAACATAGAAATCTGTTGATGATATTTTAAAATTAATTTTACTTAGGAAAAGGGTGAATTCGATTGTTTAGACGTTGCCGCTGTGTCGTTCTTATTAACTGGTAGTCCAACCGGTGACTGCATTCAGTCAGAGCACCTAATTTATTGGGGAAAAAAAAAAAAAAAAAAAAAAAAACTTAAAGCTTGATATAACAAAATAAGTTAATCCCTTCAGTCGCCATGTCCTTAGCAACGGTTGTACTAACGAGTGTGTTTCATTTTCAGACAAGAACTCGTCCCCCAGTTTCCTATAACTGTTGAACAATTCCATTGTTTTAACTTAGTCCGCGCACTCTGCAGGAAAATGTATTCTCTTTGTTGCAAAAGCATAAAACTTTCCATGAATTTTCAGCAAGGTGTCACAGTCGTCAAGTACGTGATACTTTGGCCAAAGTGGGTTGCTTATTGAGATGAAATAACTGTCAGAGTTTCCAGACCAACCTCGTTCTAGTAAACTATTTGGGAATATGCAATTGAGACTGAAATAAATGGAACATTTTTTTTTCGGATCAAGATATTTAAGCTTTATTATCTGTTTCGAATTCATGGGTGACCTGAATCTTAGAACTGGTCTATCCATTGCCAAATCCAACAATATACGATTTGGGATTGTTCTCAGGCGACAGTGGTTACCTAACACATGTTACCGCATTCAAACTGCTGCAAATTGATCAGTGTGCGTGACGAGTAATGAGAATTCACCCAGCCAAATACACAATCATAACGACATTCTGAATTTTGATTTATGATAACGCCTTTCTTCCTTTCCATAGAAACTTGAATATAAAGAACATATGTGGAAGAAATCACTGGAACAAGATACCACTGAAAGAGATATTTTCCCGATCCCTTTATTATCTAGATATTAAATTGGAATAATTCAGATATAACTATTTGCAATCTTCATTTACGTACACCTACCTGTGCTGATTACCAGCAACTCTCTGAAGCCCCGATGCAGGAGTGAAATACCTCAGAGTTCAACCGAATGGTTCACTCTTCTCTGCCGAGGCAAATAAACTTCCCAAGAGTGCGATTTCTTAGGATGAGAAAAAATAAATCCGTATGGACGCCAATTTAAACTCGCGCTAGAGACAATAATCCAGACTTGAAAAGAAATACTGGTTGTGGTTAAAACAGAGCGCTTCGATTGGTCGGTGAAAATAGTAAATCAAAACATACTGGCTTAAAAGGAAATGGTTTTGACTTCGGCTTTTGTCGCTGACATCCCCGACAGGGACTGCCAAGACGTTTGCGGTTTGAAATCAATGCCAGAATCCCACTGGTGAGTGTTCAAGGAGACCGTAAGAAACTTCTCTGTTGACGTCCTGGGGTTGACGTATGGTAAAATGAGTAAACTGCTGAAAGAAATTATAAAACTGGGAAACTTTGGCCATTGCCGATGCTTCAACAGCACTGAATAACAAACTCTGCATGAAACTATTGTAGCTATTGCAGTAATCAATCAGGTTGCAATCCCCTTCAAAGAAAATAAGATCAAGGTGTTCTCTGATGAAGTAAACCAGGTAAATTCCGTGGTCGACATTAATTGACACTGCAAGTCGAAAGAATCTTAAGGACGTATTACAATGATTTCCTTACGCTATACGCTAATCATTCTTAGTTACTAGCGATACAGACATTCAAACGAAACTTATTGTTTTACTAGTTTGGGGATGTTTTCTTTTTTTTTTCTTTTTTCTACGAAAGTTATTATATTTTTTTACGTTCTGGAGAGTTCTTTACTGACACTACGAAGAGTCGATCACGAGACCGAAAACAAGGCACGGGCGCGTAGGTCAGCGCACGTGGACCTGTTTGTCTTAAACATTTTTTTTTTACATTTGAAGCTTGGGCACTCTTGCAAGTGAAAGGTATTCGTTCGTAACGACCTCATATTGATCGCTTCCCCGCGTGACTTCAGCAACGGGGGATGAAAGTGTTACGCCTGGACCACAGAAGGTTAGAACAATTAACATTTTAGCGAAAAGCATTAAAATCACTCAGAAGAGAGACCAAAGCACTAGAAATAAACCAATACTGTCTAGTGCAAGTTGATGGCGAGTGACAACTGAAGCGAAAAAAAGCAAAAAAAAAAAAAAGAAAAACAAAAATGAAGTGTCCCCATGGGGCCGTTTCTTTTTCTCGTGGCCTAGATTCCTGAGTTCAATCTATCTTTAGCTTAAGCTCCATATAGCAAACTTAAGTTGAGGGTATGACCATTACTGGGTGCACAGAGCCGTTGAAAGCGAAAAGAAAAACGAAGATGTCAGAACTTCTCTCTGGATGATTCACGTCATCGAAGCAGATGTTCCTAGATTTCGGCCACAAGACTTATGTTTGCAGCCATCTTGTAATGGTTTGAAACCCCCTGAGCGCTTTCACACAACAATGCTTACAAATTCACCCACAGCCGCCACTGACAAAGTGATGAACATGCACTAAAACGTCCGCGAGTGTTGAGGACATTCAAAAACTAAAAACTGAAACCCACAAAAAACAAGCACATTTTACTCATTTATAGTTCGTCTACGAGAAACCGAGATATGCGGAGGGCTGATCTGAATGGATCTGAGGTGGCCTGCGGGGCATGATGAGGAGAAGTAAGATGGAACCTTCAAGGGAAATCATAAAGGCTTCGAGTTATCGGGAGTTCGAGTTATCACTGAATTTGGAAAGAATGACCCAAAATTAAGCAATAAAACGGTGTTTTCATGCTTTATTACTTACGAGTCAAATACTTTGCAGAACATTTTAATCAGGTTTATCACGGAGAACCAGCAAAACTGAAAAGAAACTTTGATAGCAAAGCCAGTCATCCACGTACCAAAGTCCATTGGAATAAGAAAAAGCCTAGCAGTAGAGGAACACTGTTGGGGTTACTGCAGAACGTCGTTGCTGCGATTTTCCACATAAAACGTCTTTTAGTAGTCCCTGACGCTTTCCAGCCCAATCAAATTCCTGTCCTGATTTTGGACTGAGAGCTTTGACCCATTAGACTTTGCAATAAGAGGTTCGATTTATGGAGGGTAAAATTACGCGTAAAATGACCTGTTGGGAAGCCGAATCACTACGAAACAACGGGAGGCTCGAGTTACTGAGCGTTAAATTACAGTAAATATGAAAATAGAATCGTGAGGAACTCGATTTTGGATGGAATTAACATTTGATTCGAGTTGCAAGAGGTTCGCGTTAACTGTAATGCTTTCAACATCGTTTTGATTCTTTTAAATTGCACTCGCCTGAAGGCTGATGCAATTTTGAGAGAATTTTAAAATATCACTGGTAGTGTAAACCCTTAATTGCACTCGCATTCACACGATTACCCATAATAATTCACCAACACAGCGCAAAAATTCAAGGTCTTGTGTGTGAACCACAACGCCTCGATTGGGTGACTTTGTCCCAGTGCAGCTCTGGAAACGAAAATTCTGTTTAGCTTTCTGATTTGACTTCAATCTGGGTTATCCAACGAAAAATAACAGGGAAAAACCCTTGATTTTCGGTTGGCTTTGAAAACCAAGTCTGAAATGGAGATCGACACCTTTACAACGGCGAAAACATCCGTTCATGTTTATTTAGATTGCTCCCAATTTCCCGATCTGTTTGTGAAAGATACCTCGTTAAAAAATAAAAAAAATATAGCAAAAAAGAGAGCATCAGAAAAGGTAATCTGTACAGAAAATCTACAGTGTTTACGGACGTAGCATCTGTGTTAGCGTCATTATTGATTTGATTTGGTCCAGCAAACTATATAAAATGTGTATTGTGCTTGGAACAATGGAGTGGATTTCATTGGTACGTGTTAAAAAAAAAGAAAGAAATAAAACCGAACACAGAGCAAGTCGATGTTCAATTTTGTGAAGAATAATCAGGAATCACGCCATGTTTGGTCAGCCATGCGACTAAATCAACACCGTTTGATTCAACTTTGTCATCGGTATAGAGTATTTCCACATGCTGTCATGGTAACCATGTTGGTGTTACCAAACATTAAAATTTCTTTCCTATGGAAAGTGAGTTCTTTTCTTATGTAAAAGTCTACTATTGTGTGGGAACCGCCATGAAACTCCATTACGTCATTGTAAGAAAACAACGCGCGCCGTGGAGGTGAACAGATGAACATGCCACTCATTTATGACAGAACATAAAGCCGTGCAACCTATCTTGAAGGCTAAAACCTAACTACACCAATATTGGCTTTGCCTTAAACATGAAATCTGAGACCTTTTATTTCTGAGACATTTTTGTTTGCTCTGAGGCTTTTTGTACCTTATTTGAACAACAAGCAAGTCAGTTTACAATTTACATGCTTCCCCTTAAAGAGGTTTCTAACAAAAGGTGGTATATTGCGAAATTTTACGCGTATTTTCTTGTACAAATATAAAAATATTTGCTTTGGACAGCTTTAAGTGCCTTCGCTTATTTAATGTCGCAATCCCAACATTTCACTATTTAATAAATGAAACTTTGTCTGCTCTTAGACCTTCATGGATTGCACGAGACAGCAAAGCCTTATCCAAACCTTTTCTTGAACTAGAAGATTTGAAGCTCGAACACTTTTGAACGCAGTAACTCAGTTTTGTATACTATGAATCTGATTTATTTTCCATCATTCAAATTAACAGCTACACGAAAGCTGGTCACACAGTAGCGTGGGTATGACAAGCTGTAATTGAAGCTTAACAGAGTCACTTTTTTTTCATGGTCGGAATCCTTTCTACGAAA